TTCGTCTTGTCTTTAATATTTTTTTTGTTAGGATCCTCACAAGACAATAGTTGCGGGAAGATTTATTTTTTATTTATTTTTTTTTATTTTTAGTTCGAAAAGTTTGTTAAATTTTTATTGACAGTCAGAGTTTTTCTGCGGATATATCAAATTGAGACAAAAAACGAATCAAAAGTGTTGCAACACTTTTGATTCGTTTTTTGTCTCAATTTGATATCCGCAGAAAAACTCTGACTCTTAATTTTATTTACAATTGCAATTTTCGTTTTATTCTCCTTCACTAAAATTGCAATTTTATTTATAACTTTTTTTTTCAAATTCAAACTTTTTCCTGCTGTATTCAGTCACTTCTGAGAATTACGAGAAACAAAATGGCGGCGCACGAACGAAACAGCTGATCCACTTGAAATTTTATAATTCGTCTATAAATTCCAAATTAAACGGAATTAATTGACAATATTTTTTTTAAAACGATTTTTTCCAATGGCAAGAATATAGACGTGTAAATATTTATTAAATAAAATTCATTTACATAATTTGATTAAGTTTTCAAATCAGCGAAAAATAGGGAAAAATGTCCCTCTTCAGTAGCAGAAGTTCATATAATTGAGTAATTGTGGAAAGAAAAAAAAAATGAAACGCGGTCATGTTTCGGCAATTTCAAAAAGAATATCATATCGTATAAACCAAATGGAATAGAGGTGGGTTTGTCCACTTTCGCTTTTTTTCCACTCGTTAGCCGTTAATATTATTAATAGTTTATGGTTCGTTTGTCCTGGAAACGAGCTCTTCCTGTGACCTATTGCTCTCATTGAGCGCACCACCGAAACAGAAAATAAACACACGACAAACTTTACAAGCAAATTGCAACTTGTAATCAAACTACCTCTTCCTTTTTTCTCCCTCCTTCTATTTTTTCTTTTTTTTTTACTTCTTGCTTTTCTCAATCGTTCCACATGTTTAGGACGAGTCCTCGACGCCCATTAATATTGAGAAAGAGATATATACATTTTTTTTCCCCCTCCGTAAAGTGTGTCTCTGACTTTTGTTGTATATACATATAAATATACTATTTGTAATAATTCCTTTAAAACACAAGAAATTAGAAAGAAACAAGCGTATCTAATGTTCTTATAAGCTTGAAATAATTGCTTAGACAGCACTCACTTGCGCGTATTATATTCACACAATTTTGTAATTCCCGCCTAATTTGCTATTAGAAAGCTAAATTCTATCTTTATGGAGGAGATAAGATTTAATAAGATAAGAGATCTTGGGAGTAATGTTACCTGATTATTTAGATGTTAAGTGGCATAAAATTTCTACCGTATATGCGCGAGTAACGTGTAATTTGTCTGATTGGAGTAAAAAAAAACTTTTTCATGTGTTAAATATGTACTTAAATTGTATTATATTCACTTAATCGAACTTTTCCTCGTTTTGTTTCACTTTTTGTTTATAAGGTTTTTCTCTTTTCTATTCTTTATTATTATCATTGGAAGGGGAAATTTATTTCACTTTTTAATTATTTAATAAAAGTTTCTATATATCATAGTTGCCACGTAATCTGAAAACCTGGAAATGTTAGGGAATTTTATAAACCTTGAAAAAAAGCTGGAAAAGTCAGGGAATTTTGATCAGAAATTCTGGAAAATTATTTTTTTCTAAATAGTTATTCTGCTTATTCTCGAAATCTAATTTTTCTTAAATATTTTAAAATTAATTTAATTTTAAAAGAGTTGCGTTTACAATTTTCAAAAATAGATAAACTTGAGAAGGTTTTAATTTAAAATTTTGAAAAATTTCAATTTTTAATGAATTAATTAAATAATAAAAATTTCACAGAAATTCTATTATTTACACATTTTTCATAAATTTCTTCACAATAATTCAATTATTTTTATAAATAATAACATTTTTTTTACAGAAATTTAATTATTTTCATAAATATTAAAAAACTTTGAAGGTTTTCAATTTATTTTCATAAATAATAAAACTCATCGAAAAATTTCAATTATTTTTAATACAAATTTTAATGGAATTTCCCGAAAAATGAAATTATTCTTAAAATTTTTTATTAAAATTCATCAAAGAAATTCAATTATTTTAAAAAGCCTTCCTATAATTTATTTTTAAAATTTAAGTATTATTATCAATATATTTTTCATTAAATTTCTTGAAAGAATTAAATTATCTTCAAAAATTTTAATGAAACTCTTTGTAACAATTCAATTTTTTTTCAAAAAATAATTTTAATAAAATTTTTCGTAGAAATTTAATTAATTTCAATAATTTATCAAAATTCAATTATTTTCAATATCTACCTATTTCAATAAAATTTCACAAAAGATTTCAATTATTTAAAAAGAAATATTAAAATTCGTCACAATAAGAATTCGATTATTTTAAAAACTAATAAAATTCTTCTTATGGTCAAAAGTTTAAAAAAATTCTGGTCAAAATTTCAATTATCTTTATAAATAATAAAATTTTTCTTCAAAATTCAATTATTTTCAAAAATTTTAATAAAATTCTCGTCAAAATTTCAATTATTTTCAAAAAAATTTTTTCAATTCAATCAAATTTTTTTTACAGAGATTCAATTATTTTTAATACAATTTTAATCTAATTTCTTGAAAAATGAAATTATTCTTAAAAATATTCTTAAAATTCGTCAAAGAAATTAAAGTATTTTAAAAAGTTTTCCCATAATTTATTTATTAGAATTTAAGTATTATTATCAATACATTTTTAATTAAATTTCTTGAAAGAATTAAATTATTTTCAAAAATTTTAATAAAATTCTCGTCAAAATTTTAATTATTTTCAAAAACATTTTTCAATTCAATCAAATTTTTTACACAGATTCAATTATTCTAAAAATTATTTATTTTTTTATTTAAATAATTGAATTCTCGTTGAATTTTGTAATAAAAATTGATTTAAGTATGCATTTCAGCTTAAATTTTAGATAATAATTATTGAATATTAAACTCTAAATTTGAATTAGTAAAAATGTTTCTTAATTTGAATTAGTGACTGACTTTTTGCTTTTGAATTAGCAGATTTTACCAATAAATAGTCGTTTCTACTAATTTAATAGTAAAATTTACTAATTCAAAAGCAAAAAGTCAGTCACTATAATTTCAATTAGTAAACATTTTTACTAATTAAATTTTTAAGAGAAAAAATTATAGCATCAATTTTTAAAAATAATTGAATTTTGAAAAGGTTTCAAATTATAATCTTTGAAAGTTTTAATTTTTTATACTTTTAACTGAAAATTGTGTAGATTTAATTTTTATAAAAAAGTTTATTTGAACTTTTTTGAAATTATTTCAAGTTTCTATTTTCAAATATATATTTAATTGAAGAATTTCCGAATAATCAATGAAAGTTCTTAAAATTGGAAAAATTATAAAATTTTTTTTCCACTTTTTTTCCACTTCAAAAAGGTTTGAATTTGAATCTTTTGAAGAATTTTAATTCCTGTGGAAAAATTATAATGATTTTAATATTTATTTTCCTTTTGTTTTTAGTAGGTATTTTTTTGTAATTGTAATTTTATCAATTGATGTTTTTTGAATTGAAATTTTCTTTTGCAAAATATTTGTTTGCTCTGTATCTAAATTAGCTCTTTAAATGTTAACTAGTTTCTATATTTATTTTAATTGTAGTAAAAAATTCGAATTGTTTCGGATGTTTTTTTAGTACAAATATTCGAATTGTTTTGGATGTTTTTTTTAGTAAAAATATTCGAATTGTTTCGGATGTTTTTTTTAGTAAAAATATTCGAATTGTTTTGGATGTTTTATGTTTTTTCCTTCTTTTTTTTTTTTGAGGGAATGAGAAAAAAAACATGTGAAATTCCAGATGGACATTTGTTTGGTAAGAGACATTAAACCGTGAACATCATAAGGCAATTGTAATTCTTGGTGTCGGTCTATGGACACGGGTGCACGCGACTGCAACAGAAAACGATGACACAATCGAGAAAATGCTACCATTACGCTTTACCTACCTGTTGGTGGCAGAATTGCGCAAATTGTCGCTTCGTGACTTCATCAGTAAATTGTTATCGTCCACTCGCTCTTTCTGTCAGTCAATTTTTAACCCCCTTCTCCAGTTGCTCCATATTTACTTCCTAAATTGTTTACAAGTTTATTTTTAATGCTAACTTTAATTTTTGTCTCTTAAATTCCACTCAAGCTATAAAGCTTATAAAAAATTAAAGAACAGAAGTCAACTGATTTAAACAAGAACACAAAAGAATAGCCATCAGCCTTGAAAGAGAGATGGTATCGTGAAAACTAAAAGTAAATGATGAATACGAGAAAAAAAAAAGTTTTATTTATTACAAGGTGATTTATTATACAGCGATATATATTATGTTTTGTGTACATAGAGAGAAGAATAAAGATGAAACACCAACGCGAAACAATGATGTCGGAATCGTGTTTGTTGCACCATTTGGGCAATTAACTTAAACAAAAACGATAGTATAGTAGGCCGCACGCGTCTAATGTTAGTAGAGGACATTATACTCGACGGATCCCTTCGCTCTCAATGAATATACAAGACAATGAGAGCGCGTGGTTACGCTAATTTATCCCACAAATATAAATTCAAACCATCTGGTTATAAGGAGCTCCGTGACTATGTCACTGGAAATCATTTTTTTTTTCCACTTTCTGAAACCTACACTCTCATTTCCTCCGCCTTAACACCATTTATAAAACAATTATACCAGCGTGTGATCCATTACTCCTGGGCGCGAATAATCGACATGTTTCGTCAGCGTTTTCATAATTTCCCAGTTAATTTCAGTTTTGTCTAATTTTAGTTGTTTTCTTTTTTTATTTGGTTACTTTTAGTTTAGAGATTAATTAAGATTTTTGGTTATAGTTTACTGTTTGCTTTACTTTTTACTGTTTGCTTTACTTCTTTATTTTTTGCTTTATTTCATCAAAATAAACCAGACTTAAAATTTTTGTTTTCAGTCCTTCTTTGGTCGCTCCTACAACAACCTGAACAGCATATCGGAATGCAAGAACGGAGGCGAGTGTGTGATAAACAAAAAGAATCGAACCGCCTGCAAAGCTTGTCGACTGCGAAAGTGTCTCCTCGTCGGAATGTCAAAATCCGGTTCAAGATACGGTCGAAGATCAAACTGGTTCAAAATTCACTGCCTCCTTCAAGAACAACAACAACAACAACAGCAGCAACAACAGCAGCAACATCAACAGCAACACCATCAGAATCAACAACAAAGGCCAAATCTCACAAGTCCAGTCGCAATTCATCACACACCCCGAAAGGACGACGTCCTCCTCCTAGGACTCGACGACTACAAAAATTCCACATCACCCAGCATCAGTTCACCAGAATCGCACAACAGCGACAGTTCCGTCGAGGTGTCCGAAAGGAGAGCCGCCTATCACCAAAATTTCCGACCACTCTCCCATCTTCATCATCCCTCCGATTTGTCAAATCTGAGCAAGGAAATAATGGGCCTTCCCCTTGGTTTTCATCTCGGTGGAATGTCCCTTCTACCACCCGCATTCCTTCCACCACCAAGTCTATCAATGTTCTCACCCTATCATCTCTATGCCAATTCTCATGGCGCCACACATCCTCTACTCAACAACAATCACTCCAATCTTCATCAAACTTCACCAATTACCAGCAATACGCGACATTCCACCGACAATGAAAATTGCACCAACAATAATAATGATCGATTGGCGCAAAATCACAATAACAATAATACAAGATCGAATACACCGGACAGCGATGAGCATGACGATGAATTTTACGCGAAGAGATTCTATCATTTGGATGGAATGCTGAAAATTGAGAGAAACGCGAAGACTAAATCGGAAATTGATTCACCGCCAGGAACACCTGATTCTGATAGTGCTCCACCATTACCGCCTCAGGATAATCCCATGGATTTATCAATGAAGACAATTAATTCCGTGAAGCATCATAGAAATAATGATTATGTTGATATTGATGATGATAATTGCAGTGACAGGGATAGTCCACCGTTGAAGAGAAGACACGTCGCTATTGACCTTACAACACGAATTTAATCATCTGTTTTCAACTTTTCTTTTGGACTTTTGTTTTTAACTTCTGTTTTGAACTTTTGTTTTAAACTTCTGTTCGAAAAAATTCTCTGGCATGAATTTTTAGAACGAGGTAAACTTTTTTCGAATCTGTGATTGGAAGGAACAGAATTAAGAATTCATGTCTTGATTTGTCTTTCTCCTGTAAGGGAACAAAACTAAAATAGTTTTTCCTCTTTTCTGAAGAAAGGGAATTCTTCAGAAACCTTTGTTCTTTGAGAAGCCCACTGGCGTTTTTCCAAAAATAATTGTCAAAGAAACATTCGAATTTTAGCTTGCAGTCGATTTTTCCGCAACTTCAAGGTACAATAATAGTTCTTGACATTCGAAACAAGAACTTCAAAAAACCGAACAAAGTTTCAGAAAAATGCAGTCAATCCTGCGGAGTCCTTTGTAATTTTTAAAAATTAAGAAACAAGAGCTTCAAAATCCAGACAATTTTTAGAAAAATCGAGTCAAACCCACAGTGTCCTTTTTAATTTTTGGAAAATTAATGTTTTGAGTTTGTTTCACAATCAAAAGAATCAAAAGAGTATAAATTATTATTATTTGGTGAAAATTACTTTGCGAATTGAATTCGGAAGAATTTCTGGAAAAGTAGTTTTGAAATTTTGTAAAAGAAAAGACAGTTCAGAATTGTTATAAAAAGAGAATATTTTTTTCTTCATTAATGGACTAAAATATGTTAAACTCTATCTTTAGCCATGTTCCGTGATAAATATGTCCAGGGAGCAAGCACATGTTCTCAGTGTATTGTATTAAGGACTATGTTCGAAAACACATGTCGAAGTGCGAAGCACATTATCTTACAAGTCTTCGATACCAATGTAAACTCCGTATCCTCAACTCTTTTTATACAATGTGGGAAAAAAGAGGAATGAAGTAACTTTTACTAATTTTAAAGAGCAAATTTGTACTATTTAAAAGTTTTTAATTTTATTAATTTAAAGAAAAAACCTAATACCGACCGGAATTTCGGAGCAATTACAACTTTTTCAAAATTGAGTAAATACTGACTTTTACCAAAAGAATTTTTTTTGGAACTAGTCAAATTTACTCTTTGGAAATAGTAAAAATTGAGAAGAAGAAAGAAGAGAAGAAAAAAAGTAAATTTTACTCCTTTTGGATAGTGCAATCTCTAAGAGAAATTTCTGAGCATTTTCAGTATGGCAATTTTTACTATTTAATCAAAAAATACAATTGAGTAAACTTTTTCTAATTGTTGCTGAAAAGACCTCTGCAATTGATAAATTTTACTTTTCGAATCTAGTAAAAATTGACACAAGTAGAGAAAAAATAAAGTAAATTTTACTAATTTTATCTAGTAAAATTTAAAACTACAGAAATTTCTGTCCATTTCTAGTGTGGCGATTTCTACTATTTTCTAATAAGTAAATTTTACTAATTTTTACTAAAAAATTTTTTAGCGACTAGTAAAATTTATTCCCTGGAAATAGTAAAAAATTTTATACATGAATGAAAAGAATAAAGTATATAACTTTTACTACTTTCGTAGTAAAAGGTAAACTTTTATTTTCTAATTTTTACTATTTCCAGTATATATTTTACTACGTTTTTCTAAAATTTCTTTCGAAATAAATAAAAATTTTTATTCGCAGGTATACTGAAAATATTGCTAGACGAACAAAACGAATAAAGAAAATTTTACTTCATAGTAAAATCATAAACTCTCCGGAATTTTGGAATATTTCTATTAATTTTTACCATTTTCGAATTAAAATGATATATTTTCATTATTTTTATTTAATATTTTCCTTTATCTTTGAATAAAATTCCAAAATAGTAAAAATTGAAAAACGAATAGAAGAAATAAAGTAAATTTTACTATTTTCATTGTAAAACCATAAACTTTCAGGAATTGTTGAATATTTCTCTTAATTTTTACCATTTTCGAAGTAAAATTTAGTAAAATTATATATTTTTGCTAATTTTTATTTAATTTTCTTCTTAATAATTGAATAAAATTCCAAAATAGTAAAAATTGACAAACGAATAGAAGAAATAAAGTAAATTTTACTAATTTCATAGTAAAACCAAAATTGCCCGGAATTGTTGAGTATATTTCTGTCAATTTTCAAAATTTTCGAAGTAAAGTTTAGTAAAATCGTGATATTTACTTTAATTTTCTTTAATATCTTTCAATGTCTTTTAATAAAATTCTGAAATAGTAAAAAAATGACACAAGAAAAGAAGAAATAAAGTAAGTTTTACTATTTTCATGTAGTAAAACCAAAATTGCTCGAAATTCTTGAGTATTTTTTGCTAAAATTTCTTATGAAACTAGTAGAATTTATTTTCTAGAAATAGTAAAAATGCCACACCGGAAAAACGAATAAAATAAATTTTTACAATTTTGATAAAAAAATCAAAAGTGGCAAAAATTTATGTGTATTTTTGGTATGGCAATTTTTTCTATATTTAAAGAGTAAATTTTACTAATTTTCGCTAAAATTTCCTCTGAAACGAGTTAATTTTACTCTCCAGATGTAGTAAAAATAGCCACAAGAAAAGAATAAATAAAGTAAATTTACTAATTTCGTCTAGTAAAATATAAACTCACAGCAAATTCTCTGCATTTCTAGTCTGGAATTTTTTTTACTATTCTAGAATAAGTAAATTACTTTTTTCCAATAAGTAAATTTTACTAAATTTTACTATTTTCAAATAAGTAAATTTTAATAATTTTTACTTTTTTCGAATAAATAAATTTTATTAAATTTTACTATTTTCGAATAAGTAAATTTTACTAAATTTTACTATTTTCGAATAAGTAAATTTTACTAAATTTTACTATTTTCGAATAAGTAAATTTTACTAATATTTTGTTATTTGATTCTATTTCAAACAGTTTTCTATGTTTCAGTAAAATTCCGATCTAATTTTATTAAAAATCGTAGTTTTCAATAAAATCTGTAGAATTTAGTTCAGAAGTATATAGTCAATTTTCCTCTAGAAATTTTCAAATTTGTAGTAAAAATTCCGAATTACTTTTCACTTTATAAGCAGTAAAAGTTATCTACTTTCCATTTTTTCGTCCACTAAAAACCAAATATCGACTGTCTTTCTTTTCGCAAATTTTTATCAACGAATCAATTAACGAATTGTTTCCAATCGAATAAATAATCTATTATATTTAAATTAGAAAAAAAATTGTACAACGCAATTTAACAGAAATTATTATCGAATTTATTTCCACAAATTATTAAAAATAGAAAAACATTTTTTATTAGAACGATATAGGAACAGGAAGTAAATATTTTTTTTTCGTTTTTTTTTAGTCAAAGTTTTGTACCCTTTGGAGATGATATCAAAAGAGACAAGTGGTTTTAATCTTGTTATTAAACGAGTAATTTCTGTACGAGCGTTTTATCCACAGATACAAGGTCGTCTTTTTAGAACACAAGTTCCCTTTTAACGCACACCGGATCTCAAGGAGTAACCGATTTGTAAAACATGGTTCTTCCCTCATACCTGATGTTTTAGAATTTATTCTCCGTGTGCCGTGCGAAAATATCGAGAAAAAAATTAAAACTTGTGGGTGAAAAAAAGTTATATTTTTCGATTTCGCATTTAAAAAATAATTTCCATATTTATAAAAGATTAACTTTGTTCAACTTCCCAAATGATTTACTACTTTTTTTTGGTGGGTAAACTAAAAAAGAGAGAAAAAAAAATTGTAAAAAAATAATTTTGACAAATTTTCTACTACGAAATCTTGTCTTTTGTAAATCTATAATTGTAAATATTTCTAAAACGAAAAAATTCCTGTAAATAGTTTTTTTCTAAACTAATCAATTAAGTTCTGCTTTTTTTAAAAAAAATGAGAAATACGCAAATCATCGAGAAATAAAATTGAATTTTGCAAATTTTTGCAATAATTATATCGAATAAGTTTCGAATAAAGTCAATGAGAGGCCAGTATTTTTACGTTACCTTTCTTAATTAGAATTGTAAAAAAACAAAAAACAAAAAAAACAAATTGTAATTGAATTGAAATTAATTTCAAAATCGGACAAATGTAAATTTTGAACAAAACGAAAATGGACATTTTTTGAGAAATCTCTGATGTCTTATACAAATGAAAATGACGTTGTTAAAACAGGGTCAAAATAATTGTACATATTCTAATGATTGATCAATTTTATGCGACTAAGGGGACGCAGGCCAGTATATTAATATAATATGTAAATAGCAAAAAAAAAAAGGTGCGTTAATAATGATTCGTTGCATTTGTTACGCTGCTTATTATTTGTATAAATTAAGTTAAATTAAATTTATTTGGCAATATTTGTATAATTTATAATTTTATAATGTATTTTTCGTTAAATTTTCCGAAAAAAAACGAGAGGAAATCTGTATAAAAAAGAAGAAAAAAAAACGACTGGAAATTTATTTCATTTTTTTTATTTTCATAGAAATTATGCGGTGCCAAAATTACAAAACGTCAATCATTGTTAAGAAAATCGAGATTTATATATGATTATAAGTTATTAGCAATGAAGACTTTCGCAAAATATATACAAAAATTTTTATCCAAATTTATCGTCTCTTTATTATTTTCAACCGATGCATGCGAAGAAAAAATTCGAACGTCTTTAATTTATTTCACTTTAACAGACAATTTTCTTTTTAAAAAAAGATTATTCAATAATAATTTAGTATTTTAATAATTTTTTTGCTTAAAAAATAAAAATTCAAAATGAATTAAGTTATTCCCAGGCTCTTTATTAATTTCTAAATTCAATTATTCAAAAATTTAATAATTTTGTCAAATAAAAATATTTAAATGCCTGTTATTTATTTTTCTACAAGAATTTTAGAATTTTTTAAAACTGAATTTCAAAAATTCAAAAATTTAATTATTTCTAAAAATTAAATTTGCAACTCTTCGAAAAATTAATTATTTTCAAAAATTTTTAAGTAAACTTATTCTCAAAATCAATTATTTTTCATATTTTTTCCGTTTTCTCCGAAAGTTTTACAAGAATTTAAGATTAAAATTTTCTAGAACTATAATAAAAAATATTCATAAAATTAGTTTTTTAAAAATACTTTTGAGTGATTTTTAAATAACCGATGGATTTTTTAATTATATGGAATTAAAAAATTTCCAAATAATAGAGTAAAATTTTAAGAAAATAATTGAATATTTTAAAAGACTTTTTAGAAAATATTAAAGAATAATAAAATTTCTAAAGAATTTTAATTACATCAAAAATTTTAATTCTAATAAAACAAATTTTATTATAAATTTTAATTTACCAAATTGAAATTTAAAAACATTAATTGAAAAAAAAAAATTGTGATAAAAATTAGATAAAAAAGTTCTATGAAATAGTTTCTTAAAAATATTGTAATGGTATTTTTTTAAAAATAATTAAAAGAAATTTTTTGACAATGTAAGAAACTAATCAATTTTTATGAAGAATTTTAATTAAAA